TCAGTAAAGAAACACTTAGAGATGCAAAACAGTTCTGCGGTGGCTTTGTTTGGAACTATTTTCATTGACGAAATAGAGCAAAAACAGGAACTAGTCTAAAATGTAAGTCAATTAATATTGGCTTGTTTATTGGACTGTTTTATAAAATCTATACCAGATTTACTAACAGCTTGTGCCATCACAAACTGCCTTTTGGCATTAAAATAGTACTTTCAGTTAAGAAGTAGTGCTGAAAAAGGCATGAACACAGTTATTTTTGTGCCTGACATTATTGAATATGCATTTGTAGGAGCTTCCATTGCAGACACAAAATTTATGGGAGGAGAGTATTTACATGAATCACGCAACGCAATTTACTATCGTTTGCGCTCATCAAATTACTGGTTAATTTGGTAGATTAACGCCCCAAAAACAGCATGTAAACTATTTTGTGCTTGAAAGGGCTGCATTTGTTGTTGCTAGAGGAGGCAGCGCAGAGAACTGAGAGTAGAAGGGAGAGGGGTTTTCAGCACGTTTTAATTTATTTGGAATGCCAGAAGAACACATTATTCGAGTCCGAATCCGAACATGTCTTATGCTAATTTACGCCGTGCTTGGTAGATCATGTTGGTCATTATGGAAATGAGATGTTGCGTCTGTGTTCTTTAATTTGTGCATTGTCAGTAAATCACCCGCAGAAAGCCATGGTCACTGAGACACCTCCAGCGCGTTAAGGAGGTGATCCAAGGAGGGCCAACCCTGTGCATGCAAACCGCTTATTTTTTATTGTACAATGGACAAATAATGGGCAACAACATCATATAGTGCCTTAAAAGAAAGCATTGATCAGATTCTAAGGCAGCATTGTGAGTTTCCTTCCTGGAGAAGGCAATACCAGAATGCATTGCAGCTAGGTCACAAATATTTTTTATCCGAGTTGGTTGGCTTGGTAGTTTCCATAAATGTTGATTTATTAAATTCTGAAATGTGTTGATAAGAATAGTTAATCTAAAAACTGACAATTTCAACCAACTCTTGTTTCTTGTTTGTGCCTACAAAACTATTGCATTGTTAGCAACATGCTAACGTCAGACAGAGAGATCTGCTTTGAGCATCGGTCCAAACTCTCGTGCTGTTTCTGTGGCGTGGTTGAGTGACCATTAATGGAGTTTCTGGCCTCGAAGAGCGTTTCAGATCATTCACTTACGAGGTTCATTTGGGTTAAAAGCTAGCCTGCTTCACCAGACAGACTCCTGGGTTATAGTCTCTTTCTGTGCGAGTAGTTACTTACGCTGAGTGAGGTTCTGTAATGAAATCACTCTCACTCCCTACACATGAGCGGATCTTCTCTCAAGGTCATTCTGTGGAAAGCCCTCCTCTCACCGCTGACACACAACAGGCATGTGCGTGATTCAGAGGCATCCAAAGACACTATCCCATCAGCCTTTTCTCAATATTATCAGTTTCTCATGTTTACTCATGGTTCTGTGAGCTCACTGAAGGTCCACAAACATCTCTGTCCAGATCTGCCTTTATTTACACCAGACTCCCATCCACAGCAGACCCGGACCCTCCTGCTAGTTTCACTGCCATGACTAATGTCTTTCATTCGTAGTGAAAGCAGTGTGTGTGTGTTGTTCTGTTAGGAGTAGTGGGTTTCCTCATTCCACACTAGCTTCACGTCTTATCACAGAGCCATTGATGGGAATATGTTGATTCCTGGAAACATTGCTGTAATATTCTACAGAATGAGGGTCTGTTTGTGCCTGTTATCTGAGCTGTTGTTTGGTCTGTAGCAGCCGAGTCTCGACCCACTGTTCTGAAGTATATTGTATACACAGAAATGCTGAGCGCTGACTGAGCTGGCTGGATATTTCAGGGTGCAGTTTTTTTTATCATGCAATACTCTCATTCAAGCCAGCCTGCTTTACCAGCTCACTGACACCAGATCTTTGAGAAATACTCAGGGTTTAGATGAAGGCACTACAGATGACTTGAGCTTTCCTGTGACGGAGATAGGGCTGGGTCGAGTGGGGGAGGTGTGTGTGTGTGTGTGTGTGTGTGTGTGTGTGTGTGTGTGTGTGTGTGTGTGGCGGGGGGGGGGGGTGAAGACACCCGCTCAGGGGGAGCGCAGTTATATTTGTGTCTGAATGAAAACGAAACGATCCCGTGTCAGAATGGTTGACATAACACTAGGCAGAAGCCTTGTAAATGTCCTAATCAGTTCAAAATGTCTGAGAAAGTCCTGCGTTTTCACCAGAAGTGTGGGAGGTGTGTGTGTGTGTGTGTGTGTGTGTGTGTGTGTGTGTGTGTGTGTGTGTGTGTCGGGAGGAAGTGATGAAGTCACCCGCTCAGAGAGAGACAGAGGGAGTGACACAGAGCTTTCTGGGATGAGCGGTGTTTTGTTTTTGTGCTCATCCACTAGAATGATCTGTGGCTGGTGGCCATGGTCGGCGATGTGTTTTACTGGGGCTTCTGCTGTCTGAGACGCTGGAAGAGAGAGAAGAAGAAGGTAAGCAGATGGGAGTTCACACACGATGACAGCGCAGTCTTCACGTTTCATCATATGATGTAAAAGACTAATTCAGTTTGACTCTGATGCTGATGGATTTAACAAACTTCATAACATTCAAGCATGTGTTTGGATGAGATGCAGCTTAGCAGGTGCCTTTTATAGTTCTCCCTCTTGAATTCATTTCATCTTAATTCATTGGGCTTGAAGCTGGATGTTCATCTGCTTTATTCTTCATCTGATCACACTCAGATCAAATGATCATTCTCGCATTATTTTCTGTTAAATTCATTCTGTGTCTTCTGACATCATACGAAATGGGAAATTCATGACCCAAAAAGAACATTCATAAAGTCTTCTAATTCTTAATAATAATTGTTTAGATTTTTAGATACAGCAGTGGATTAGTTTGAGACCTTCATCTTTGGATCACATCCTTGACTAGTTAACCGGGTCACGTCACAGTGTTTGTGTGTCACTAACAGCACAGACACACTGATCCTTACTTGCATTTATTCATCTAGCACAGACTCAGAAATCATCAGTGAAACAGCAAACCCATGACAATAGCACTGCTGCTGTTACACACAGTAAGCTGCAGGAGCTGTTTTAGTACTTTTGAAACCTGGCAGAAAAAAAAAACTGTTCAAATATGCTGTTTATTTACCATAATATTGTGCTCTGTAGACCCGCTATGCAGGGTAGACGGCATATTTAATGGGATGCTATTGAACACAAGGCTGTGAGGACAAAGTCAGATTGTGCAGAGGACTCATCTGGTTCCTGTGGTCTTGTCCCGGTGGTCGTCTTGAGACAAGGTCTTTACAGGGGATCTGTATCTGGGGCTCATCTAGTTGTCCTGGTCTCCGCTGTCTTTCAGGGCTGTAGAGGTCCTCTCTAGGTGCTGATCCACCATCTGGTCTGAATACAGACTGGATCCGGGTGACTGCAGTGACCATCTGATCTGGATACAGACTGGATCTGGTGGCTATGGTGACCTCGGAATAAGAGAGAAACAGACTAATATTAGCGTAGATGCCGTGATCGTGGTGATCACATGCACTGCGGGATCTTCTAGAAACTTTCCTTACATGAAAGCTGTGCTGCTTTCCCAATAACAGCGTGAGGGAGATGGGGGACTTTTGCTGCTTTATTTAGAAAAGAATGTCTGTAACTGTATTAAAAGTCAATATTCTACCCAGCAGGTTAAGGAGGGACTCTACAGAAGAGTTTCGTGTAGTTGTGTGGGTATTGGTTGACTGGAAACGGTGGTGTTGTGGTTGTGTATCTGTGGGTGGAGCAGTGTTGTGTGTTTTCAGACGCGGTTCGGGTGTGTGTCTGTGGTCTGTCGGCTCTGTTTTCTGTGTTGGTTGAGAGTCTGTGAAGCAGCTACTGAAACGAGGAAGCAGTGGGCAGCCACCTCACTGGAGGCTCCGTCTAAAGGCCTCATTCACACATGAATTAGGGTTCAAGCCCTCTCTTTTGATTCAAAGAAATGGACAAACTCTGTTAAACAATTTAGTATGCATCTAACATCATGTCATCACATTCATTGTAATGTTTCATATTTGAAAAAAAAACACAAAAAAAACACCAAAAAGCTGTTGCAGGATAAGCCTTAGCCAAAAGGTGGTCTTAATTTCTCAAAATAATTTGGTCCCATTAGTTAGTCTTAAAAATGTCTAAACATCATTGCATTGCATAGCAAAATATCAAAGCACACATTTCACAACATAATGCACAGATCTCATACTATTAATAGTGTTATTATAAAGAATAGATGTAGTTTGTCATTGCTGACATGATGAAGAGAAAAGACACTTGATATAATGTTTATATAACATTATTGGGTCATTGTATGAAAACAAGGACGAGTCTATCTGACTTTCTGCCGTTCTTTCTCAGTTTTATGATCACTAAAGCATTTGTGTAGATAAACTAGACTGTCTTTATTAGATCATCTTCAGCTAGTTTGAGGCTGGACATTCCTGTGTGCTTCGGATGTCTCTCTTATTTTAGGTGTAAATCTATGCAAATGAACGTGAAGAGACGTCTGTGTGTTTCATGGCTGTGATGGGAGAGGATCACCGATGATGTGTTAAACAGCTGCTGCTGAATGAATAGATTCATATTTAATGTTTAAATGAATGATTCTTTCTCTTTGATTACTGTGGAGGACAACAGAGTTTAGCATTTTGCTATTCTCAACCATATGAGGACATGCACAATCATTCAGAACCTCTTCTGTATCACTTCTTCAGACTGAAGTAATTAAAAGTCATTCTCTCTGGCTGATCCGTTACTGACGGGTCTGACGTGTGACGAGCTAGAACAGAATGAATGAATGGATTCATCCAATAATGTGTGAATGTGTTCTGGGCACGCTCTCTCTCAGCAAACGCTCTGACAGAAACCGGAGGCAGTCGTGTGCTGTTGATCAGTGATGCTGCAGAAGATCCTTCAGCCTCAGCACAGAAGCGTCTCTGATCTCAGTGTCTGTGTGCTCCAGGTCGCCGGAGAGCAGAAGTATCACCCAGAATGCTTCACCTGTCTGAGCTGCCGAGCGTTCATCGGTGATGGAGACACGTATGCTCTGGTGGAGCGATCCAAACTCTACTGGTGAGTGACCTTCACATTATACTCATGACAAATGGCTCCAGTTCTTGTTCTTGACTTGAGCGTGTGCATTACGGGTTATTAGTATGTGTGAATAATAACAACAACAAATAATCATTTCAGTTACTGTAGCAACTGAAATTGTAAACACCGTAAACTGTCCACATAGCATGATGTATGAATATGATTTGAGCCAGAACAGCATATTAATAAATCACTAATAAACCTAGTAAATGTTGTTGTGATGTTTAGCATAATATATGGTGACATTTGGCTTTAATTTCACCTTTGCTTTCCAAAAGCTTTCCATTGACTTGTTGCTCATTAGTATGCATAGTACTAGCATATTGACTGTTTATTAATACTTATTAATGCATGTCCATATTCTAGATCCCTTAACCCTACCCCATACCTAAACATAAGTTCTACAACAACTACCTTACTTAATATCAATAAGCAGCACATTTAGAGTTTACTGAGGGAAAACTGTTAGTTAATAGTGAATGTGTTCCCTAATCTAAAGCATTAGCAAAAAATAAAAATAAATACTTCCAAAATGTGTACACTTTAACCTGCTGTTTTTTAAATCATGTGTGCGTCCCAGAATGATTAGTGAGCCCTTATCAACTTACTTTCATAATCATCAGCACTTATATTTATAATGACTGGAATGTTCCAGTGTGAAACACAGATACTTGAACTGTTTAACTAGTTATTTTATGAAGCATTATACGTAGATGTTTGCTGATGTTATTAAGTAAAAGTATAACGTCACCAGATCATCAGAAATCCATGATATGACATCTTGTCCGTTAAACATGAAGATATAAATATATAAATATACAGATATAAACTTTTAAAAGCATGTTCTCATATGAAATCATTGAGTGATTTCTGACATGTTTTGTGGTGATGTGATGGAGAGCGTTTCTTCTGCTGTGTGTTGAATGCGTGCAGTCTGTCTGATGGTAATGATCGGCTGTGTCTCCCTCTAGTGGACACTGTTATTACCAGACGATCGTGACTCCGGTCATTCTGCCCGACTCGCCGTGCTCCAGGATTCCTCACACGGTCACACTAGTGTCCATTCCCGCCTCCACCGATGGGAAACGAGGCTTGTCCGTGTCCATCGATCAGGGCTCCAGTCCCAATGGCTTCAGCCCCGAACACACACACACCGTCAGAGTCTCCGAGTGAGTGTGGAAACACTCTGCTCACTTACACCTCAACACAAACAGAACATTAGAATATTTAAACATGCAGAACATGAGAATCCTGATCAGAGGGAAAGATTCTGCTCTGATTTGTAGGTACCTGTATAAGTGTTAGAGGTTCTGTGATGCTGGAGAGCGTGATGATCAGGATCATGTAGCTCTTACGCTGATCATTTACTTTAATGACAACAACACTGATACATTTACAGATCAATAATTAGGAGCAAAATATAGTTATGACTGATAACTCATATCAGATGTGTTTGATATTTTTGTGTAGAATTTACACAACTCATTTGATTGGGGGGGAAATAAAGACTGATGATGATCTGCCAGTATCCAGACTAAAGATACAAGTGATGATCAGCAGGAGTCTGGCCAGTCTTGTATTTCTACTAGAAATCGTGTGTTCCTTCATGTCTTCATGTGGTTTTGTCCGTGTGTTCAGGGTGGACCCAGAGTGCATCAGTCCAGACGTCAAGAACTCTATACATGTTGGCGACCGGATCCTGGAGATCAATGGAACCCCAATCCAGAACGTTCCTCTGGACGAGGTGAATAAAACCCTTGTGCAGACGATTCACACATATGTGACGGCTTTATTCTATAGAGCCACAGTTAGTTTGACTGCAGACGGACTGCAATTCATGCATTCATTCATGTTTCTGGCCTTCATGACAGTGTGTTTGACTCAAAGCCTCGTGTGTGTGTGTCAGATTGATCTGCTGATCCAGGAGACCAGTCGTCTGCTACAGCTGACCATTGAACACGACCCTCATGACCACGGCCCCTCGGAGGACCAGGTGGACAGGCCGACACCCCCGTCTGAGGGGCCCAGTCCCATCACGCCCATCACACGGCCCCCCAGCCAGGACATTAACACCTTGCGCTCGCGGATCATCACGTCAGTAAAGCACCACGCTTTTGCTGTGGCTACAGTTAGTTACGCACACGTATCACACACAGCCAGTGTTTTAGTCAAGAATCGATTGTTAGTGTTTCAACAAGTATCCAAACTTTGGCATTTAACTCTTCACTGCATAACAAAATGCTAACAGCTACACAATCTCTTGCGCTGGATCACTGTCTCGATGTGTGTGTTTGGTCCATTTAGTTGTCATCGGCTGTTGTGATGCATGTTATTCTACTTGAGTTATTTGAGTCTGATTTGAACACAGTCGATGTGTGTGTTTGCGCAGGCGCAGCTACAGTATTGATAAATCTCCATGCTCCAGTAACACTCCATCTCCACTGTCTCTGAGGAAAGACATCGGCCGCTCCGAGTCGCTGCGCGTCGTGTCCAACAGCACACACCGAATATTCAGAGCCTCCGACCTGATCCACGGAGAGGTTCTGGGTACAGGCTGCTTCGGACAGGCCATAAAGGTGAGCACACACTCTCTGTCCTCACTATACACACACACACACACACACACACACACACACACACACACACACTCTCTCTCTGTCCCCAATACACACGCCCACACACACACACACACACTCTATGTCCTCACTACACACACACACACAAACTCTCTCTACACACTCTCTCTCTGTCCTCAATACACACGCACACACACACACACACACACTCTATGTCCTCACTACACACACACACACAAACTCTCTCTCTGTCCCATACACTGTAGAAAAGTAAAGCCAAAATGCCCTAGATATGGCTGCTATCTTGCACCAATTATTTAGTGCCCGAGTCTGCGCAGTAGTGATTCATTTGGAGCCCGAGTCTGCGCAGCAGTGATTCGTTTAGAGCCCGAGTCTGTGCACCAGTGATTAATTTAGACCCCGAGTCTGCACAGCAGTGATTCATGTAGTGCCCGAGTCTGCGTAATAGTGATTTGTTTGGAACCAGAGTCTGCACAGCAGATTCATTTAGAGCCCGAGTCTGTATAATAGTGATTTGTTTACAGCCCGAGTCTGCACAGTAGTGATTCATTTAGAGCCCGAGTCTGCGCAGCAGTGATTCGTTTAGAGCCCGAGTCTGCGCAGTAGTGAATAATTTGGAGCCTGAGTCTACACAGTAGTGAATAGTTTGGAGCACGAGTCTGCACAGTAGTGAATAGTTTGGAGCCCGAGTCTGCATAATAGTGATTCGTTTACAGCCCGAGTCTGCACAGTAGTGATTAGTTTAGAGCCCAAGTCTGCGCAGTAGTGAATAATTTGGAGCCCGAGTCTGCGCAGTAGTGAATAGTTTGGAGCCCGAGTTTGTGCAGCAGTGAATAGTTTGGAATCCAAGTCTGCGCAGCAGTGAATAGTTTGGAGCCTGAGTCTGCATAATAGTGATTAATTTAGAGCCTGAGTCTGCGCATCAGTGATTCGTTTGGAGCCCAAGTCTGCGCAGTAGTGAATAGTTTGGAGCCCGAGTTTGTGCAGCAGTGAATAGTTTGGAATCCAAGTCTGCGCAGCAGTGAATAGTTTGGAGCCTGAGTCTGCATAATAGTGATTAATTTAGAGCCTGAGTCTGCGCATCAGTGATTCGTTTGGAGCCCAAGTCTGCGCAGTAGTGAATAGTTTGGAGCCCGAGTCTGTGCAGCAGTGAATAGGTTGGAGCCCAAGTCTGTGCACCAGTGATTAATTTAGACCCCGAGTCTGCACAGCAGTGATTCATGTAGTGCCCGAGTCTGCGTAATAGTGATTTGTTTGGAACCAGAGTCTGCGCAGCAGTGATTCATTTAGAGCCCGAGTCTGTGCAGTAGTGATTCATTTGGAGCCCGAGTCTGCGCAGCAGTGATTAGTTTAGAGCCCGAGTCTGCGCAAGTAGAGATTAGTTTAGAGCCTGAGTGCGCAGTAGAGATTTGTTAGTTTAGAGCCTGAGTCTGCGCAGTAGTGATTCGTTTGGAGCCCGAGTCTGCGCAGTAGTGAATAGTTTGGAGCCCGAGTCTGTGCAGCAGTGAATAGTTTGGAATCCAAGTCTGTGCTGTAGAGAATAGTTTGGAGCCCAAGTCTGCGCAGTAGTGAATAGTTTGGAGCCCGAGTCTGTGCAGCAGTGAATAGTTTGGAATCCAAGTCTGCGCAGCAGTGAATAGTTTGGAGCCTGAGTCTGCATAATAGTGATTAATTTAGAGCCTGAGTCTGCGCATCAGTGATTCGTTTGGAGCCCAAGTCTGCGCAGTAGTGAATAGATTGGA